TTGGTTTCCGAAATGAGATTTTTATTTATTTAATATTTTTTCCATGGAATTTCTCAAGTTTATCCGTCAGTCTATATATCAATTGTTATTGGTTTGTCAAAATTTGGTGATGGGGTTATGGAGTTTTGACTGTGGAACGGTGTAAACTAGGAAGATGCGAGCACACGTGGAAGTTGGGGAGTGGTTGAGAAAATTGGGATGACGGACTCAATTTTGACCGTCTCGGTTCTTGGCTTCTTTTGCTTACCACGACCACCGCCCACCCATATTCCTCGCACTTTTTTACAGTCCACCGTGTTGGCCTTTTACCTTTTTCACCCTGTTCAAATGTGGAAGTCACCGGCCTACAATTTTTACCACATTGGCGGTGTATGTATGTCAAGCATGAAGATGAATAGCTTGAAATAGGTGATCCGAAGCCATCTTTCGTGTAAGCTTGTGTAGTCGACACTCAGCTAATGAGTGAGTTAATTGATATATCTAGAGGAAGGATGTATTTCAATTGACTCATTACGCATCATTTCAATTGTCGTAGATCTTAAAGTATCACTAAATATTTCAATTCAATAACGTAGAATGAATATTTCAACCAAAAATAACTCATTTCAATTGTTGCAGACCTCAAAATACTAATAAATATTTCAGTCCAATAACGTAGAATAAAATATTTCGACCAAAATAACTCATCCAAATGCTACAACCACATTTACTTACGCTCTTTTATTTTACGGCTAAATTACACGTTTGGTCACTCAAATTACATAAATCTTTCACGATTGCCACTCGAATTACTTTTCTTTCATATTGACCACTAACTTTACGAATCATTTCACCGTTAGTCACCGGCCGTTAGTCTCCGTTAGATTCCGTTAACTCCGTCAGTTTTCTGATGACGTGGCAAACAGAACTGCTGACTGGACGATTAACTTGATGACATGTCAATTAAAAAAATAAAAAATAATTAATAAATAATTAACACGTCGCCTGCACCCACTGTAAACTTCATCGGCTAACCACCAGCGGCCGGCGGTTGACAAGCTACAGGCCTCTATCGTTGGGAGATTCAAAGTCCGTCGGAGACTGTCTCCAGAAGGGATTGTCCTCGCCGGCGCAAGGCAACAGTGCGGGTCTTGAACAACTCTTTCCCACACCATTCCCCCCTTTAAGCTTTTCATCATTTAAAGAGGGATTCGTTAACTTATTCACTCATTCAATCCCATTGCTCTGATGGGTTGCTCTATTTCCAAATTCACATCCACTCGTCGCTGCACTCCCACCGGCCACCACTCCCTTTCATCGAATAGCCGCAGTCAATCCACACCTTCCACCTAGGTCTCGCAACTGGCCGGCGAGCAGTGTACCACTCCACACCGCCCGTCCACCACCTGCTGCCGGGAAATGCGATTCCGAGCACCTGGTGTACTGCCGTAATCAATATTCTAGGAGCTCATGGATGGCCTCGACGATGGTAATGACAATGTCGATGGTGGTGTTGATTCTGTTTTGGGGAAATCTCAGCCACCGACAAGGAATTCGTTTAGGTCGAAGAATTAGGGCTTTCGGACAAACCGTAGAAAAATTGGGTTCGCCGTCGAAGCCACTGTGGAATCATTTCTTAGAGAAGTCGTTTATATTGAAATTGAACCCGGTCTTGGTCTCCAGTTCCCGTCGCACATTGTTCGGCAAGACTAAGCCTAGAGAATCAGTCTCCATCGCCGACGACAGCAGTGACGGGGGAGGCGGCGAAATCTTGGTGTTCTTCACCAGTGTGAGGGGGTTCCGGAAGACGTACGGTACGAGGACAGCTGCGCGGTCCGTAGGATATTCCAAGGCCTGCGAATGGCCGTCGACGAGAGGGACTTCTGGATGCAGTCAGCAGTTCTGTTTGCCACGTCATCAGAAAACTGACGGAGTTAACGGAATCTAACGGAGACTAACGGCCGGTGACTAACGGTGAAATGATTCGTAAAGTTAGTGGTCAATATGAAAGAAAAGTAATTCGAGTGGCAATCGTGAAAGATTTATGTAATTTGAGTGACCAAACGTGTAATTTAGCCTTTATTTTACCTTTCCTTTTTTGCGCTCTTGAAATCCCAACTTGCTTCCCCACCTCGTCACCTGTGTTGTGGAGTGGTGGTTGGGGGCTGAAAATTCAGGTTAGTGGGAGAAACGGCCTTTTCATCTACATGTCTAGTAACGAAATATTCCAAACCACAAACCACGGGAAGAAGTAAAAAAAGAAGAAGAAAAATTACCACATGCACCAGACTGAGTCCAAGGGCCGGTAAATTTCTTTTTTACCATCCCAGCTCCATTTTCAACTAGTGCTGGTAAATTTACCAAAAACTAATAAATGAAAACTTGATTTGTATAACACGGAAGAGTTTTTGGGTGTTATAGAAAATTAGGGTTTATTAATAATTATTGTTTAGTCGGAGAAGAGAAGATAATGATTGATTTGATGCGGTTGTGGGGCAATTTTTAATTATTTTTTGGGTCTATTTAATTGGGGTATACATATCATATCTTGTTTGAATTATTAAACTAGTAGGCATATAGGATAGGATAGTGGTGGGTAGGGTCGGTTGCAATTAAACAAAAAGGTCCGGTCCTACAAGAAAACACAACACAGCAAGTAAAGATCAAAGGAAACTTGTGGGGTACCCCTCCTCTTCCTTTTAATTCTTTTTCTCTTGTGTATTTATGATAATTTCTTTCTTTAATCTTTTTTTATTAGAGACTGGGGCCTACAGTAGGCCCACTAAGCAACCCAAAATCATAAGAAGCTAAAAATATGTTTATCACTTATTATACTAATTTGGTAGGAACTTATTATAAGTGTTAGTAAACTTTCTTAATGGATAGATGAAAAATTGCTTTTGTGGGCTGACCGACAACCCAACCGCACCCATCCACCGCCACCCAACCATCCCAACTCGAAGGATGTGGGTGAATAGGGATCACAATTATATCAATCCGCTGGTAAGCGGGTGGGTCAATTGGAGACCAAAGCTCACCCAATCCGCTCATTGCCCCCAAACAATTGTAATTGCTTCAAAACGAGTCAATTTGAAATTTCCCATGCAGTTGCTTTGCTTCATCTAAATTTTGTGCTGCCAAATAGATCAATTTGGCCAGATTATCTCAAAACGAAACAATTGGATCAAATTGATCCGTTAGAATTTCTCATCCAAACGACCCCTAAAAATGATAGAGAAATAAGTTAAGATAGCATGAAAACGGAAACCTTGTTGGTAACTTGGAAATCAACTATCCCACCTAGAGAATTAAATACCTCTGATTTGTAAGGAGAAGTAAATTGTTGTTTAGAAGGGATGAACATATAAGCCCATTTTGGTTCGCTGGCTGTTAATTGAACCCATACTCAACGATGATAAGATTAAGAAAAGGGAGTAGTGTGTCTGTAACGGTAAGTGACTGCATTTCGTGAAGACTTGGGCAAAGAAAGCTTATTACAGTTACAGACAGGCTGAGTTTAAAAACGCCCGAATCTTTCTTTCCACATTTCACCATTCACAAGTCACCAAGCAAAGCAACCAATCCCTTCACCAATGTCCCTTTCTCGGATGGGCAAAAATATTAGAGAGAAAAATACTTGGTGGTGGCCGGTGGGTTGCTTTCATTAAAGGCGTTTATCATTATTTTCATAACTTTCCTCGCATTTCTTTTGCCTTAACATTTTCTTGTTTGCTTTAGAAAAATATACACTTATGGTATTGCAAAATTTCATAATTGTAATCGACATAATGCATAGATCGTCATATTATGTGAACCAAATGATCCCGTAAATCGCCCTCCTCGTTCATTCTTTTACCAATGGTGGTGACCATTATGAAAGTAGGAAAAAGATTAAAAAATTGATTTATGTTACTTTACTTAGTTTTTATGGTAGACTTTGCTTAGACAATTTTATCGTTATTTTTACTGTTTCGATGTAAAACGATAGATATATACGGTTGGAAAATGACTGAAAGCTTTTCAATAATTAATATACAATCCCTCTCCTCCTCGTCTTCTCCTATACGCTTCCTTCCTTCCTTTTTTTCTTTTCTCTTTTTCACCTTTTTATTCATTCATTTCCCGTTGAAATGAAAAATAAAGGTGCCCGGGGGTTTCTTTTTTCCCTTTTTCTTTTGGGGTGGGTTGGGTTGTCCTTGGTTTGTTTTCAAACCTTTTAAACCATTAGTGGGTTGCCTACCACCTAAAATACAACCCATCTTCGGGGTCTTTGTATGTTGGCTTTTCTACCAACAGAATCAAACTAAGGGGGAGTAGGTTAACATTCTCTCTTTTTTTTCCCCTCCTTATTCTTTCTCTTTAATATACGATTTTTCTTTTTGTAATCCCTTAATATATGATTTTTCTTTTGGGTTAATTGCATGGTTGGTCACTGAGATTATAAAAAAACGTTCATGTTTGGTCACTGAAAATATTTAAATCCAATCTTGGTCACTCAAATTATTTAAATGGTTCAAGTTTGGTCACTCTCCGTCTATTTCCGTTAACTCTAGCTTACGTGGCAGTCAACTTTCATAGTTGACCGTTAAATATGTGACGTGGCAATTAAAAAATTATTAAAAATAAAAAAAATAATCTTTTACATTTCCCACCTCATTATTACATTAATTAAAAAACAAAAAAAATATTTTTTGGCTGGAAGACCTCTCGCATCTCACCTTGCCGATCTGCGGTGCCAGAGCAGTTTCAGCTTCTCGGCGGCGGTGCTAACTCCGTCGCCGGCGAATTTCAACTCGCAGTCAGCTTCCGTTTTTACGCCGTGAAACGCTCTAGGGATGCCTTCGAATATGTCTTTAGGGTTTGGCAAGCCAGCGCAGAGAGTCTTCATCTTGTTCACCATTTGGTACCAAAATGCCCAATCCTCAAACTCCTTGAACCCTAATCGAGTCGCGAAGCGGAAATCGCCTTCTACGTTCATGATCTCGTGGTTCCCGTTCATTGTAATCAGATTGCCCCCTCTCTTAGCGGCTTCCCGCTTCAGCTTCTCCAAGAAGTAGAGAATCTTTCCGCTCGTCAACGCCGCGATCGAACATGTCGCCGACTTGGACAACAGTGGAGGAGCCGCCGGACCAGCGATCAGCCGCGTCGATGAGGCCGGCGAGGCGGAAGGCCTGTTTGGATTTCTCAAGGTCTCCGTGGAGATCTCCGATGGCGATGAGCCGGCTGGGAGTAGGGTAACGGGTTCGGAAGGGATCGGGAGGGGGGAGAGCGCCATCTTGTGGAGTTACGGAGGTGGCTGGTGGTAGAGGCGGAGAAGTAGGAGAGGCGGGTAGGAATAAGCCGCCGCTGACGGAGAAATCGACGAAGGTGTCGACGAAGGAGGAAAGAAGCTCCGGGAGAGCTTTGCAGGAATCCTCGTGATTTGCCTCCATTGCTACCCGTCAGCTTACCCGTCTCCACCTCAGCAAACTCCTCTTCTACTTTCCCCACTTCCTGCACGAGATTTCTTAGATAATTGAATTGAATTGAAATAAAAACACATCTGCTTTAATTTGCTAATCTAAGAAACTCCTTCAAATCCCTAGACATGACCCCCACCGTATCGGCGGAATCGGACACCATCTCAGCAACGGAGATCAGCGCTCCGGCGAGCTTCACCAGCTTCCGTCGAAATCCCCAATAGCTTGAGGCAAATCTCCAAGCTCGCGAAGTCGGACGAGTTCTCCTAGTCGTTGACTCGGGTTTCTAAGGCGTTAACGCCGGGGATTCTGCGTGGGTATGATTCCATATCGAGTAAGGAGAATCGATCTGCCGTGATTCCAATTTCAGCCACAAGCTGACTGCGAGTTGAAATTCGCCGGCGACGGAGTTAGCACCGCCGCCGAGAAGCTGAAACTGCTCCGGCACCGCAGATCGGCAAGGTGAGATGCGAGAGGCCTTCCAGCCAAAAAATATTTTTTTTGTTTTTTGATTAATGTAATAATGAGGTGGAAAAGGTAAAAGATTATTTTTTTTATTTTTAATAATTTTTTAATTGCCACGTCACATATTTAACGGTCAACTATGAAAGTTGACTGCCACATAAGCTAGAGTTAACGGAAATGGACGGAGAGTGACCAAACTTGAACCATTTAAATAATTTGAGTGACCAAGATTGGATTTAAATATTTTCAGTGACCAAACGTGAACGTTTTTTATAATCTCAGTGACCAACCATGCAATTAACCCTTTTTCTTTTTGTATAGTTAATGTTCATGGGTGCGCTGTTGGAAGAGATTTGAAGTTTGCGAGACTTGTTTCAGGAGTTTCGGGTTATTTTTGTGGGTCGGGAGTTTAATAGGGTTGTCCATTTGGTGACAAGAAAAGCCCTTTCGTTGTCCCCTTCTTTGGTAGGCTTCAATTTTGTTTCTGGGCTGTTTTCAACTATGTGACTCTTTTGTATCTGGCTGTTTTCTCGCTAATACGAGTGATCTTTTAGAAACAAATATATAAAAATCTGATTTTTCTTTTAGTACTCAGTACACTATTCCATTCTTTAATCATATTCCCCTATTGATATCTTCCACAGTTAGTAGAATTTTGTTTCTTAAAGTAAGATAATATATTCAACTAGTTACAAATTTGTATAAGATCGACCAATGTATTGGTGAGCAAGGGAGGAGTGAGAGGAGAATGAGGTAGGTCCTCGGGAGATTTGAGTAAAAATAATTATATTAACTAGCATGGCCCCGGCCATTTGGCCGGAGGAAGGTAAGGTATGAAATTTGATAATGTATGAGGTGTATAATTTATTGTTGTATATATTTTTTTTTGGGAAATACGTGATAAAATAGTGATATTTTAGTAGGAAAGCGACATGAATTATGTAACGAATCAAAAATTAGCCTTATGAACCAGAAAATCGAATAAAAAATCACCTATCCCGCCGATTTTCGGGAAATGAGCATCTCACAATCGTTGCTAGCTTTTACTCGTCCCGTTGGCCGATTAATTTGCTTCATAACGGGCCAAAACTTGAAATTCAGCTTGTTTGACCAACCCATGCAAACCTCTAAGAATTCTGTACTTTTAAACTTTCTATTTGAAAATAAAAAATAATGAAAGAAAAGAGATGACTGCAATTCGCCATTTTCACATCACTGATTCGGGGAATAAAACTATAGAATTTCGAAAGTTAACTGAAAATGTGTAGGATCGTTTTAATATTAAAAATAACCAAATAGATCTTTCTGTTTAGTTTTTTACTAACAAATACCAAACAATTCCCTATAATATACACTATAATTTAATCATTATGATATCAAATAATTACATAATATATATTTGAAATGATAAAATTGGACTAATTGGGTTGGTCGAGGTTGAATCATTGAATAACTTTAAAATACATTATATTTTAGCCACTAAGATATAAAATAATACCATAATATATATTATGCTAGAGAAAATAGCTTGTTTTAGAATGACAAACTCATGATGTTCATTTGGTTTACTTGATGGGCAAATCCCGTGTAGGTCAGGCCCATTCAACTCTTTTATTTTATGATTAGCGGTTAGACCATTAGAATCCATGCATTAGTTTATTGTTAATTTTTTTCTTTTTAGCAATAAAAAGGAGTATTGTTTTTGTCTTTTCATATATATTTTACCACCATGGAGAAATAAAAGGACTTAAAGAAAAAAATTGACACTCCTGGACCCGTTTAAATCTGCATGTGTACGGTAAGTTGGCCCATTCCACAGAGGAAAAAGAAAAAAAATTGACACTCTCTATTCTACCCTTCCTACAAACGCTCCTGGAGCAGAGAATTTGAAATGGGGGAAGGGTTGTTTCTTCTCTACGATTATATGTTTTTAGTTTAAAAAGATACAACAAATGTACTTAGTGTGATTGGTTATGATTTTTTCTTTTCTTTAAAGTGGTCATGGTTCGAATCCTAGTAAGTGTCATTTTTAATGAATAAAAAAAAGTAATTGTGAAGACCAAAATGTCCTTCCTACTTTCACTCTGGATGGAGGAAATTTGAAATGGGGCTTCAAGTTTTCTCATTTGGCTTTTATTTATTGTGTAGATTAGTTGAAGGTGTTAATTAATATTTGTTCACCAAAATTAAACCATTTCGTGAAATACATTGTAATTTTACATAAATAATAGTATTTATAATTTTTTGCAAAGACGCTAATATTTTTTACAGATAAAATTACGCTCAGATGTATATAATTGACAACAATTTCTACTATGAAAAAAAGAAAATTTTTAATAGTGATATTTTTCACGCAACAAATTACACGGAAAACGTGCTTTTAAACGGAATGAGTATAAGAATCATAAATGATTATTTTGTAAGATAATTTGATATTGATGTCCTAAATAGTTTGAATGTAATTGCACTTTTATGTTCCTTTGGGGACATTCAATAAAAATTTTTTACCAATGTGAATGATCAAAATTATATTATCATGCAATTTTCTGAATATTTCGAACCCACCTTACAAAAAAATCCTTGCTACGCCATTGTTGATGAGTTGCAAATTAAAAAAATGTTTTGATTGCCAATATGAGCTTTTCTTTAAGTATCTAAAGTGTCATTCCAACATCATTGATTAATAACAGTTTATTCGATGCGTCGACCATGGTTAAAACTTTAATCCCTCTCCACCACTTGTCCACTTCCGTTCCAATTTTACTGGTAGTAGATTTTAATTTCTCGAGATTTTACTGTCAATAGATAATAACCTGGAAATAGTAAAAAATATCACTCACAAGAATGCAATGGCGTCCTCAACAACTTTTATATTAAGAACGACGATGACTTTTTATCTCTTTATCTTCCCTTAATTAAAGCACCTTATTCAAATCTTCTGCTGTAAAACTTTAACTTTACAGCCAGTAATATTTACTTCGCTAATTAATGTGATGACGAACCCCAAAAAAATGCCAAAGATATTCAGTAATCAATACTCTTGCCCCTCGACTCCTCCTCCTGATCTCGAGCGCAGGAACTATATTAGGAAAGGGGAATCAAAGGTAATAATTGTGGCAGTAAAAAAAGATAAAATCGGTGACAGTAAATAAAAGGGTAGAGATTAATAATGGTGGAGCATTTACCGGCCCTGAATTCCAGCTACCATCTTTGCTGAAGAAAATCTCAGCCTGTTCCAATCCATCATCATCAGCAGCACCGCCGAGGTGTTAAATGATATTGGCAGTAACTACGATGCCCGTTTCCCCAAGTCATTGACATGATTCATATGGATGGCAATTCAGACCCACCTCATAGGTAACGGAGCGGGTAAATCCGATCGAGATTAAGACGAACAGGTTGTGTCCGTCCTGTTGAATGAATATAACAGCTACGGATACAATCGATGCCCATTTCAATCAAAAGGTTGTTGATTTGTCCTTCGATATAAGGCTGTTGAAACTTGGCCTCATCATTCTATACTCAACTACGAAGGCAAATCAAGCAGTTTATAATGCTTTAGTTCCTATATATCGTTTTACTGGCTCGAGTGTTCGCTAGCATTCAAGGAATGGAATATTATTAAGCATCTTTCACTATTTGGTTTTAGTCTTACAATTTCATCTATACATGACCAAGGAAATTATGAAAGCATATCAATAACTATGGCTAATGGAACCGATATTTTTAAATCACAACAACATAAATAGTAAAAACAAGACGAGACATGAAAAACACTCCACCGTAGACCATCCACATCCATGAAATACCATTTCTAATTCATATGTGGCCACTACTGCCACATCATCAAAATTTTCCATTTCACTACATATCACTTCCATTTACTCTACATCAATGAAATCAACTATCTATTTCATATGGTAAGTCCAACTTATTTTTTAATACAACTATACATTTTATCTAACCTGTATTATTTTACCAATTTAAGTGGTATCAAATAATTACATAACACAATCACAATTGCAATTGACAAATTACATAACACAATCACAATTTTAAATAAACACACATACATAGCGCAATTACTATTTCATATAAACACATGTAATAAAAATACATAGAAATTATACTAGATTAATCATCGTACTTCTCATCTTCGGATCGTCTCCAAATCGATACAATGTGTATGTGTATTTGATTTTTGTGTTGTGCTTTCATAATTCAAAATTTTAATTAATCAAAATTTAATCAATTTACCTAATATAATAAGAAAATCCTTAAATTATTATTAACAAAGAATAAATAGTAGTTTAAAACAAAAGAGCACAATTTACAATTCAAATAATCAAAATAAAAATGCAAAAAAAAAAAAAAAGGAACAAAAGAGCAAAAGTGGGAAGGGGCCCACTTCCCACCCCACTTACGATGTCATCTGCTATTTCATTTAGGGGAATCTTCCACTTTGTGAAATAGGCTCTACATCTATGGAATGGAAAAAGCAAGCTGCC